ACTTTCTGAAGGGGGGAAAGGGAGAATATAGGGTAACTCCAATTAATACCCACATTACAAATACATTATCTTATTTCATCTTTTAAAAAAATATATTTTATTGATTTTTTACAGAGAGGAAGGGAGAGAGCTAGATAGTTAAGAAACATGGATGAGAAACATGGATGAGAGTCATCGATCAGCTGCCTCTTGCACGCCCCCTACTGGGGATGTGCCCGCAACCAAGGTACATGCCCTTGACCAGAATCCAACACGGGACTCTTCAGTCCGCAGGCCAACACTCTATCCACTGAGCCAAACGGGTTTCGGCCTTATTTCATCTTAATATCACAACACAGCTGAGGAAATTGAAGATCAGAAAGGTGAAGTGACTTACCCAAGGTTATTCAACTAAGTGGCAGGGTAGGAATCTGAAGTCAGCTCTATCTGACTCTGGAAATCATGTTTTTTCCAAGACACCACAGAGCTTAGGAGAAAGCCTAGCCAAGAATGTATGTTCTGGTAAGTAACAATTGAAGGAATGAACAAATGTTTCATACAGAACATGACAGTTAATTTGGTCTTTTTGAGAGACCAAAGGCAGACTAGGAGAAAGAAGAGCTTGAACAACAAGTTTTACAATTAGATGATTAAGAACCATCCAGGGAACACTGAGCAATCAGTGTGGCTGGATCTTGGGGTGTCGAAGGAATGTAGTAGGAGCTAGCATCTCCAAAGATCAGAATGTGAAAGATCTTGTCTGCTAGATTAATGAATTTGGGTCTCACCATAAGACATTAAGGCAGAGCATTAAGCGGTATAGTAATATGGTCAGACACTGACTTCAGAAAGTCAATGTGGGGTGCAGGGTCACCAAATGGATTTCTTGTAAAAGAAGGGTGATAGCCAAAGCAACCTGTTCTCTGAATCCCTGAGAGGTTGAGGCTAAAACCAGCCCTGACATAGTTGTTCACACAACAGCCACTAGTAGGCAGCAGTGTCCCAAGAACCCGATAAGCCTGTAGCAGCTTCCCCAGCCAATTCCTGGGACCATGATAGGACATGATCACCTGGTGGGCAATATGAGTAGATGGAAGGGCAATCTGTGTGGAGGGAACCCCCAAAGCCCATAGGGGAAGGAATACTGGTGTATGGAGGTCAGTGGAGAGAGTGGCCAATGGCTGGGGTGGTTGGTGAGAGATGAGCTAGAAATGGATCATGAATGGCCTTGAATTTCCAGATTAAGGGATCTGGACATTATCCGAAGGGAACTGGAGACCCAGGGGACATTTTAAGAAGGAGAGGCATGCCTACATTTGCATTGTAGAAAGATGATTAAGACTGCAGCATGGAGTCAAAACCGGTTTGGCTCAGTGGTTAGAGCGTTGGCCTGTGGACTCAAGGATCCCAGGTTCGATTCCGGTCAAGGGCATGTACCTTGGTTGCAGGCACATCCCCTGTGGGGGGTGGTGCAGGAGGCAGCTAATTGATGTTTCTCTCTCATCGATGTTTCTAGCTCCCTATCCTTCTCCCTTCCTCTCTGTAAAAAATCAAATATATATATATATATATATATATATATATATATATATATATATATATATTTTAAAGACTGCAGCATGGAGAATGAGGGAGAAGAGACAGGAGCCGAACAGTGAGGAGGTGCTTCAGTGGTTTTGGAAGAGGTGATAAGAGGTCCGTCCACATTAGGGCCAGCAATTGCAATGGATGGAAGGGGTCAGATTTCTAGGAGGCTTAAGAAATTATAATAATAGGATGAGAAAGGGATCATTAAAAGTGTCGTTAGGAAGGAGAATTAATATTCTTTCCCTGGTACACAGTCTCAATTGGATTTTCTGCCTAAAACCGCACAGGAAAAACTCAGATTGTGGAACTTCGTGGAGTGCAAATTCTAGTTCATTCATCAGTCCTGACCAGCGTCTGTGGAGGGAACTGGGGACAAGGGAATGACCTCGCAGTTGGCTCCCCAGTCTGGTGGGAGGACAGGGTGGAGAGGGCTTTGATGGGAGAAGTACAGGATGCTACGGGTCCATCGGGGAAAACGATCCGTAAGGTTTCCAGGGAGAGAAGCGTTTTGAGCCCAGAATAGCAGACAAAGGATCTCACAGAACTGTCCGTGAACTCAAACTAAGCACTGGAAAAGAAAGGGGTCTGCTCCGGGACCCATTTACCCCTTTGTCAGAAACCATAGGCATCAACTAATGTGCAACAGGTATCCCAGGGAGCTCCTTTCCCCAGGATGCCGGCGCCAAAATAGCAACCGGCGTTCGCTCCTGCAGCAAATGCAACTCCCAGGAGCCCGGCTGCAGCATCCCCGAGGCCCGGGCGCCGCAGCAGCCAGGCTGCGATTGGCGGGGCGCCCCGTCCTCCCCCTGCGGGCGGCGAGAGGAGGCTAACCGGGTGGGTGGCGACCTCTGGGTGGGGCTGGACCGCAGCTGTCAGGTCTGGGGAGGACACCAGGGGTCGGCCGGCCCCGCACCCATGCCTGCGGGAGCCTGCGGTTCCTGGGGAAGGTGTTCAGGGCCGGAAGCCGCGCCTCCCCGAGCCTTGTGGGCGCGGCGGGTTCGCCGAGCTTCGGGGCCTGCACGCACTTCCGTCGAGGGAAATGGCTGGCCGGTTGGTGCAAACCCAGTGCCAGCGCGGGAGGGAACCTTGCAGTGGGCGGGGCTCGGGTGCGGCCGGGCTCTGCCCAGCTTCTGGGCCTTGGGCGCGTAGGCGCCTCAGGCCCTGATGGCCATCTGTTTTGCATCCTTAAGCTCCTGCCTCTAGCGCGCCCCTCCCACCCTACGTGTTTTTCCATCCTCTGCTAAAGGCTGCCAGAATGCAGCCCTAGGATTTTATGACTCATCTAGAAGCCCCATGCATGAAAACCGTGCAGAGTAGGCCTTCCTCCCCCTGGCTGCTGGCACCGGATTCCCTCTGGCACCAGGGACCCCGGCTTTCCTCGCAGCCCTGGCTTTGTTTAGGTCATCTGAAAGGATGTCCAGTCTTATTAGCATATTATACTTTTTATTATTTTAGATAGCACCCCTGACTCTGCATTGTCCTCTGGGGGCCACCCAGTGAAGGTGACAGAGACAACTCCTTTGGGGAAGAGGAGGGGAGGGCAAGTGGTAGGGCTACTTAATTCCTACTTAATTCTCAGGTTATCTTTACCTAACACACACCTCATAGGCACTCCCCATTACTTGTACCTGCTTTCCCTTCTTCGCCCTTCCCTATAACCCCTCTTCTTGCCAAGACTGTATAGTTTTGCTGCGTGTGTGCAGTTATGAAGGCTTCAACAGGAAATTCCTCCCAGATTTTGTCAGCTGAGCCTCTAAGGACAAATAAAGTTGGTGCTTCATTCCATCAGTTATTTTGAATGCCTGGTGCGTGCCAAGCCCTGCATCTGTGGGTCCAGATGAACCCAAGAGGCTTCCCATTAACTTGAAACTAGTGGGAAAAAATTAGGAATTTGTGATAAGGGTGGATGGGGATAGTGCCATAGGAAAGGAGCAGAAGAAATGATCTGGAAATTGGCGGGGGACAAGGGGGGCGGTGAGGGGGGGCCGCGGATCAAGTCTTAAGAAAGGATTTAAACTGGAACCAGAGGGGGCATTTCCAAGTGAAATTGATGGAAGAAGGCAGTTTAACAGCTCACTGGCCATGCAGTGAACATGATTCACGTTGTGTGTGTGTGTTTGTTGTGGGGGGGGGGGGTTGATGTCTGAGGAGGTAGGGTAAAGGCAGGGTGGTTGGCATATTTCCCCTGAGACTTCAGGCATATAACCTCTTTGAGCCTGTCAAACACTGATATAGTACCTACCTCACATGCAAGATATCGCCTATCAAGGCCCAACCATCAAGATTTGCACACTACTATCATGTGTTTTGCATGCCAACTAGCATATATGAAGGAACATGGGGATTGCCGCGAATGTCAAGACGTTTACATTTTCTCTGGGTAACAGAGATCAGCTTCCTGAACATAGAGGGTGCTGATCACAGGTGCTTCCAAGAGTCGAAGAGTCTAAACCAAGTGTAGCCGTTGCAACTGCTTGTTTCTCTCCCACTCGCACCCAAACCTTCCTCCCTTAACCCACAAGTATGTTTCTAAAACCATGTTTCTAAAAACCAGCCATTTATATCTGTTTAGGTAAGTTACAGAGGAGTATGGTGGCGTATTTACAAGTTGGTTTGTCCAGGTATACTATAACTTAGTGTCTGTACTTCATATTGACAACCAAAAAAATATATAAATATTTCTATCTATACACAGCAGGGCGGGAGCATCCGCGTGTTCTGAGTAGTGAGTTCTCCGTCTCCCACGGCCCTCCTCTCGTGGTGATGGTCTGGCCTTCAGTGCAGAGGAGACTAGAGTCCGGCAGCCCAGTCTGGCCCTTCCCCTCTCCTCCCTCCACTCCAGTGCTCCCAAACTGGTCTCAGGCAAGGAAAAATTAATGAGTGGTCGGGTAGGAAGAGACGGAAATGGGCGAATCCTAACGGAGCCTGACCCCTAGGGTGGGGAGATTCAGGGCCGCCCAAGCACGTGGCCCTGGCCACCCCTAGGGGTAGGAGCCTTGTAGTTCATAGTTCGATTAGTGTGTCCTTGGTCATAGGTCCAGCCCTACAAATTAGCTTGGTGAAAAAGGCAAGTGTGTCTAGGCAGGACTTGGTCCCCACCCTCTGGCACTGAGCCATTCAGGGTGGAGCCTGAAGTGTGGGTACAGGAGACTCTGGCTGATACAAAAATAATAATAAAATCAGTAATAATAAAAAAAAAAAATTATAAAACCTGTTGCTTGTCTGAAGAGACCTGAGCAACAGTCTTGCTTTTGTTAAAACCCTGGAGGCGTTAAAAAGTCCTGAATATGCTTCTGGACATCATTGCTGGCTGAAGAAAGGAGCCCGGGCCCAGCTCTGCTGAGATGTGTCAGTGTGGAAGCCGTGTCCAGCGGCCTGTGCTCGGAGACCCTCGGGGCTGCTGGGAACAGGCTGGGCCGGCGGTGGGGGGCTCCTCACACCTGGGAGTCGGCTCCCAGGGGGTGGAACAGCTCCTCGGGTGTCTTGTCGCTTTGGCTGGCTCCCCCCTGCCGGAACCCGGAAGCAATCTCATCGAAGGTCTTGCCTTTGGTCTCGGGAACTTTGAAGTAGGTGAAGATGAAGAACAGAATCAGGAGCACTGTGAAGATGATGAAGACGTAGGGACCACACAGTTGCTGAAAGACACAACCACACTTGGTTAGAGTCCTGACTCTCTACATTCTAGCTGTAGGATCTTTATTTTTTAATTTTTTTTTTACAGAGAGGAAGAGAGTTAGAAACTAGAGTTCTTGGTTAGAAACATCAATGAGAGAGAAACACCTATCAGCTGCCTCCTGCACTCCCCCTACTGAGGATGTGCCCGCAACCAAGGTACATGCCCTTGATCGGAATTGAACCTGGGACCTTTCAGTCCGCAGGCCGACGCTCTATCCACTGAGCCAAACCGGTCTCAGCTAGCTGTAGAATCTTTAATAAGTCACTTTACTCTTGAGGCCTCTGATCTGAGAAAGGGAAAACCCACCTACAGCCCAGGAGTGCTGGGGTGATTAAAGGAGAGCCTGCCTGCCTGCCTGCAGTGGGCATGCAACGGGCTCCAGGGATACAGGTGCCCATTGCAGAGCAGAGTGGAGACAATCCAAAGCCAAGGGCTGAAGCCAGGGTTCTCAGCTGTGTAACCTGGGCTTCTGAGACTCAGTCCAATGGGAACAGTTGGGAGAGCCCTGGGCAGGGGAGGAGGAATGGTGTGCGGAGACAACGAGAACTCTCACCTCCACATACTGGAAGCACATGCCCACGATGAAATTTGAGGTCCAGTTGGAGAAACCGGCAACAGCAAAGGCAGCCGGGCGGGGGCCCTGGCTGAAGAGTTCGGCTACAATGAACCATGGGATGGGGCCAGGACCAACTTCAAAGAAGGCGACAAAGCCAAAGATGGCCACGATACTCAGATAGGACAGCTGGGGCACCTGCTCCTGTGGAGGACAAGAGAGAGGGGGGAGGAATGTTAAGATGGGAGCCTCAGGAGACAGATTGCAGAGGCGGGCTGGGCTGGACAGCAGGAGGTCTGGGGCTGATCCTGGATTTACAGAGGGAGTGAAGTACCCCGCCTTGGGGCTCAGTTTCCTCATGGGAATAAAACGATTGACGCCCTGCACGGTGGTGGTGAGCTCATCCACCCTCCGGGGATGGTCGCGCTGGGCCTGCAGGAGTGCTGAGAAGAGACCCCTGTGGCCTTGCTCTGGGTGCCAGTCTGCTCGCGGCGGGTGTCAGAAGCCTTGCAAGGCACCCAGCTCAGGGCCGGCACAGCACAGGCCTCAGACGTGTGGTTCCGTATGTAATCACTGCCACCCTGAGGAGGCCACCGAGGAGGTTATGGGTTTTGGCCCAGAACCCAGCTCTGCCACTCGTCGCTGTGTGCCGGGCCTCTTAGGAATCATGGGACTTTCTAAGTCTCAGTTCAGCTGTGAAACCGGCGTACTGGCGCCTTCCTTGCGCAGAGGTTGGACAAATGAGGGTTCGAGTATGTGAAGTGCCTGGCACAGGTTATCACAGAGGTTCCTCAAGGGCTTGCGGTCAGTGCCTGACTTTGCCCTTATCTGCCGCGTTACTAACCTCACTGGGATAGGTTTCCTCATCTGTAAAATGGGACTGACTACTGACTGAGCTACACGGAGTTGTGAGAACTGAGTGAGAGCAGGCATGTGTCCAGAGATGAAGACACTTAAAGGGTTAGCATCGGGCAAAGCAACTCTCGGGGAGAGGGGACTTGGGGTCTGCGGCTGGAGTGCTGTGGTGGGCCAGCTCCGTGCAGGGAGGAGCCAGCTCAGGGCAGGATGCGAGTGGGCAGAGTACAGAACTAGGGAGATCAGCGACCCCAGCCTCTGGTGCCGACGGCCAGGCTGGGGCTGAGGCAGGCACTTTGGAATCAGAAGCCCCCGTGAGCTCTGTACCCACCCCTGCCACCTCATCCCTCACACGGTGCCAACTCACTATTAATGCCAGCGCGATGGTCATGAGCACGGCACAGCCCGCCATGCCAGCCAGGCCAATGAGGTGCAGCGTCCGCCGGCCAGCTCGTTCCACCACGAACAGCTGTGGGCAGAGAGAATGTCAGTGCACTGCCCCCCCCACACCACATGGTGCCACGCTGAACGCCCCCCCCCACACACACCCAGAGGTTCGCCCCAAGAGTGGGAAAGCCACACGGCACTGCAGAGACCACGAGAAGATGGTATCACCTCCTGCCGGGACTCGGCAGGGGGGCCCACACAGGGCGTGAGGGAAGGGAGGCTGGCAGCAGCCACGGGGGCTGAGAGCTGGCCCTGGAGAGCCAGGCAGCTGAGCACCCCGACCGTGACCTTGGGCAAGCATCGCTCGTCTCTGAGCATCAGGGTCATCAGCTGTCTGATAGGAGTAATGAGCTTGACGAGTTGAGGACGAAGTGACAAGACACTCAGGGAGCACATGACACAGGCCTGGCCCGCAGTAAGCGCTGCCACTCAGTCATGAGGCCGAGAGGCACTAAGCTGGACCCTGGCTGCTGACCGGGTTGGGGGGGAGAGGGGGCGGGCAAGGACGGGCACAGACTCACCGACACGACCGTGAAGGCGGTGTTGACGATGCCGGTGCCGATGGTGGCATACACAGGCTGCTGCACGCCCGCTTTCTCGAAGATGCTGGTGGAATAATAGAAGACCTGGGGACAGAGGAGTCATGGGCGCCGGGGTCGGGGGGGGGGCACGGGACACAGGGCGGGCACAGGGGGACGGGGACGCTGCAGCAGTTTGGTGATCAGGAAGGCCCCTTTGGCGGGGGCTTGTGTGTTATGTGAAGTTTGGGCTCTGTCCACAGCATGCACTTGACCACGGGGCTTGGCTGGGGCCACGGGAGGGCGGGTGTGGGGCACTCACGGCGTTGATGCCGGACAGCTGCTGGGACAGCTGCAGCACCACGGCGATGAGGATGGGCTGGCGGTAGAGGGGCGAGCGGAACAGCTCGGGGATGGTGACCTTCTTCTCCCGCATCATCTGCCGCCCCTCCTCCTTCATCTCCTGCAGGTCCCGGGTCACGTCCGCCATCCCGCGCAGTTTCTTGAGCACTGGAGGGCACGGAGGGGAGGCGGTGGGGGGCCGGCTCAGAGCAGGGAGAGGGCCGGGGCGGGGGATGGGACCGGGGAGGAGGGCGGGGCCCCGCCCGTACCGCTCTTGGCTCTGTTCTCCTCGTTGCGGTTGATGAGCAGGAAGCGGGGGCTCTCGGGGCAGAAGGGCAGCATGATGCACTGTGCCAAGGCCGGGACGAAGATGATGCTCAGCAGCAGGGGCCACAGATCCCTGTTGCCCATGATGGAGTCCAGGCCGAACACCTGGGGGAGCAGGGCGGGAGGAAGCGGCTGTGAGCGCTCCAGCCCGGGCCCACCGCCAGCCCCTGCGCCCCGGGGCCTGGGCCGCTGTGTGTCTGTGCTGCTTTAGGGAAAGGGCGCCGGCTCTGGGGCTCTGCCCTGATGTGAGGCTGCGAGTTCTCTGACCTCAGTTCCCTCGTTGGGAGGAAAGTAGGACCTGCTTCCCGGCATCAGCGAGAGGACCAATGGCCCAGGGAACGGGGGCTGCCCCTCGTCCACGGGCCTCTCAGGCACAGGAGCAGGAAAGCCTCAGAGAGGGCCAGTGCAGGGAAGACACGGAGGCCTGCGGCCATGACAGAGCCCGGCCAGGCGAGCCACCTCCGTGGCCTGCGGCTGAGTTCCCAGGCGAGGACAGGGGCTGAGCGAGCTGGGCTGGATGTGCTCTCCTTTGGGACCCGTGCTAGGCTGTCCCAGGAGGCAGGGCTGCGGAAGGTGGGGCGAGAGGTCTAGCCGGGGGCTGTCTGGACACCCTTTCAAGAGCCACTGGGGCTGCAGGGCGGGGGCCGCACGGGGGCGGGGGGAGCAGACCCTGCCCCACTCACCTGGGCGATGAGGATGCCGATGACGATGCCCAGCTGGTGCAAGGTGCCCAGGGCCCCTCGGAGGGCCGTGGGGGACACCTCCCCCACGTACATGGGCACGAAGCCCGTGGTCAGGCCGCAGTACACGCCGATGATGAAGCGGCCCAGAATCAGCATCTCAAAGGAATTGCCCAGTTTCGAGAAGCCCATGAGCACGGCGGCCATGAAGGCCAGCAGGTTTATCATCAGCATCGAGTTTCGCCTGGGGGGTGAGGAGGGGTTCACAGGTCAGGTGGGTCCTTTGATCCCCCAGACTCCCCAAGGACTGGGGGTCCTAGGGAATATCCCGGAATAGGCAGGGACATCTCCTCCCACCCCCCCACCCCCGACTCCCATCTGGGACACCCTGGGCGGGGCCGGGACCCCTGTGCTCACCGGCCAAAGCGGTTAACGAAAAGGCCCACCGAGAAGGAGCCAATCATGCCCCCCACGGAGAAGATGGCCACGGAGAGGGACCAGAGCGTGGTGAGCGTGGTGGGCAGGATGTTCTCCCCATAGCGGTGGACCCACGTCTGGTTGTAGAACTCCTCAATCACCTGCAGGGGGAGAAGCAGCCTGGTGGGCGAGGGAGCCGGGACCCAGCGGCTCTTTCCCCGGCACTTGCCACCCAAGGAGGGGCATCTTACTGCCCCATGCTGAAGAGGGCCCTGCGCCCGGCCACGCCCTGAATTCACCGCATGCTCTCTCTTTTTTTAATTGGCATTTTTAAAATATATTTTATTGATTTTTTTACAGAGAGGAAGGGAGAGGGATAGAGAGTTAGAAACATCGATGAGAGAGAAACATCGGCCAGCCGCCTCCTGCACCCCCCCCACTGGGGAGGTGCCTGCAACCAAGGTACACGCCTCTGACCGGAATCGAACCCGGGACCTTTCAGTCCGCAGGACGACGCTCTAGCCACTGAGCCAAACTGGTTTCAGCTGCATGTTCTTTTTTTTGTTGTTGTTAATGTTTTTTTAATTGGTTTTTAGAGAGAGAGGAAGGGAAAAGAACATACAGAAACATGGATGAGAGAGAAACATCGATTGGCTGCCTCCTGTACGCCCCTTTCACCCCCCAACTGGGGATCAAGCCTGCAACCGGGGCATGTGCCTCAACTGGGAACCGAACCAGTGACCTCTTGGTTCATGGGCTGATGTTCAAGCACTGTCACAATAGCCAGGTCTACTGCGTGTTCTTGAGCCAAGTCCCTCCCCACTTGCGGGGCTGAGCTTCCTCAGGTGAGGAACAGGGGCTGGGCTCCGCCTCCGGTTCTCCTACGCTGCTGGGGGCATGGTGTCCCGCCCTGCGGGTTGTGCATGCTCAGCGGGACCTGCTGGGGACGGCAAATGCCGGTGGAGGAAGTTCAGGCATAGAGCGGGGCGTTGAGAGCAAGTGCTCCTTCCCACTTGCCCCTTTCTCCTCAAGGAACCTAAGGCCCCAGCTCCTGTCACCAGGTTCTCTCCCAACGCCCTCCCCCCGCCCCCCTCTGCCAGGGAGGAAATACAGCCGGACAGACAGGTTCTGCCATTCCAAAGGCCCGGGGAGGGAGGGAAGGAGGGCAGGATCACGGGCTCTGTGCTCAGGGCCCGGTGTGCCAACATGCACACAAGCCACGCTCATGAGACTCACTCTGCCGCCCTTTTGTCTCCCAGGCCCAGCTCCTTGTGGCTGGAAGTCCCATCCTGCAGGCCCCATGCCCCCCCCCCCCCTCTCCCAGGTGCCCAGCCGGGAAACATAGGAAAGGCTCGGAGGAGGAAGTAGTTCTAGGAACTGCAGCCATCTGTCCTAGCACAGGCCTGCCCGCCAGCCCCGTCCCTCCCCAGGGGAGGGCCTGGCCGGCTCCCAGGAATGTGACAGGCAGGAGGTACTGGTTATGCCCGAGCACCCTCTCTCTCTAACTCCAGGACACGCAGACACACACCTAGGGCCACGGGACCAGCCAGACCTCCCCGGCCACATGTGCAGCCGGGCACAGGCCCAATGTACCCAGAAGCAGCTTCCTGTGCACACAGACCTCACACACATATTCATGCCCACGTCACCTGAGCGTTCCTGGCATCAGCCACTCACACACCTGCGTGCCCCTCCTCCCCTCACCACTTGCAGCTCAAACAACCCCGTGCCCATCCCAGCGCCCTTTGCTGCATCATGCTGCAAGTCCATGCACACACGGCAGATGCATCTCTTAGACACCCTGCCCTCAGCCCTCCCTCACCCTTCCAAGTCCCAGGGGTCTAGCAGAAGAGGAGGCTGCCGTTAGGCACAATCACCAAAGGGGAAACGGAGGCCTCCGGTCCCAGGAATGCCATTGAGCGTGCTGGGCCTGGCCCGGAGGTTCCAGCGGATCCTCGGCCACTAGCCATCTTTTCTCTGCCCTGCTGCCATTGTCTGTCTCAGGCGTGGAGACACCTGGCAGGCTGGGCTCTAGGGAGTTAGGATAGGGGCCATGGGGAGTGGAGGAAGGAGAGAGAGGCAGCTCCAATGATCTACGTATTTATCCCAGGGAAGCCAGACAGTACAGGGTTAGGGACCTCAACACAAGGGCAGTCCCAGCTCTGTCCTTATCTCCAGCGTGATCAAGGACTAATGATCTCATCTCAAATGACAACATTGGAAATAGTGCTGTAGGAAATTAATGAAGTGTCCTTACGATGCTTACATGGTACCTGGTACCATCCCCGAGCCAAGGGATAGTACTGCCCAGAGGGAAGTGCAGACCATTGACAAAGTCTAACAAAGCCTGCATCTCACAACTCAAACCAGGGCTCCTGCCAGCGATCAGTCCAGCCTCCCACCTACCCATGCCTCTACCTTAGCCCTGGGCACCACGTCCCCACCCCCGTGGCTACCCTGCCGGGAGGGGAGGGCCCACCCTGCCTTACCACACTAAGACCTTTGAGATCCAAGAGGTCTGTCCTCCCGGAGGACAGGGACCCCAGTGGATTCACACCGGGCCTTTCCCAGCGCTGGTGCCAGGGACGCCTCGTGAGTGAAGGAAGGAGTCCATGGAGAAAGGGCCCTAGGCCCTCCTTTTGGAAACCCCTGCCTCTTCTGAGGGCAGAGAGAAGGCGGGTCCCAACAAACAAAACAAAACAGAGTGCCTGTGTTCCTCAAGGGACAGAGCCACCCCCGAGGAGGACCGGCCAGGAACAGGAATGCTCCGGTTATCAGCCCCAAGGAGAACAAGCTGTCCTGGATAAGGGTGCCTCTCCGATACACAACACGCCTCCGAGGCCCCACACTCTCCGACCTGTCATCTCCCTCCTGTCACTCTCCCTGCTGCCCTTAGCAACCAGACCTACACACAGGGAGAGGTGCTTGCCCCAGAGGCTCCGAAGTTGTACCTCTTGCAGCTCTCAGAATCTTCCTGTGGTTCCGATGCTCGACCACAGAACTGCCCGCACCATCCTTTTAGATTCTGCCAAGAAGTCGGCAGATGGGACTTGTCTGAATTGTGCACCAAGAGTCAACCGGTAAGGGCTGAGTGAGGACTTACTGCCTAACATGAGCTGAAGGGTACAGGCGGAGGTGTCTGCCTGGGCATTTCAGGTCTGTAAGCCTCTTCTTGGGGCTGGCTTGGGGCTGGCTGGAGGAACATATGCAAGTGAGGTGTGACTGGACTCCTCCCCTTCACCTCCAGTTAAGTCTTCTGCTTGTAGTGGCAAGTCAGAGGGCCCAAAGCTTATGCAGGCCTGGCTCCTCCATGGCTCCTGGGTCCCTCTGCCACTCAGGCTACCTTATGGGGTTGAGGAAAGGGGAGCAGCCCAGCCCTCCACCTGGGCCCTGCGCTCATCCTCGCTCCCCGCAGCAGCACCTCTGGCCAAGCTGAGGCTGTGCCGTGGAGCCCTGCCTCTTGGTCTGAGACCTGACATTTCTGGGAAGAAGCGGCGCCCCATTCTCCATTCCTGCTGCCGGTGTGGGGCCGTGTGTCCTCTGGCCCCTGCGGGTCCATGCCCCACGAAGTGCTCAAAGCTGGCCCTGGCCCAGGAAAGGCAGGGAGATAGATCCTGGGGAGCCAGGAGAATGAGAGGTCCTGGGATCACTGCTTCCATGCAGTCACTGCACGTAGCACCCCTCTTGCAGGGGCTGGGTACCCCGAAGGGAAGAACCTACTTACTACCCCCCTAAAAGAACCCCACAGATCCAGCCTCCACAGCATGTTTACTGGCAACATCCTCGGCCCGGCTCCTGTGTGAGATGAGGCCTGGTACGGGCTTCTCCTGAACATGCCACCTCATGCGCCCTCATCCCACGTGTTTGTCACAAGCCTGGCAGACACCCTGGGCCCTGCCATGCCCTCCATCGGACCAATCACCGGGCCCTGTCAGTTCTGCACTCGCCCCTGGCACCTGGCCCTCGAGGACGGTCCTCACGCAACATCTGCCCTGGGTCTCCCCTGGAGTCTGCTCCTGACTTCTCCCACCCACTGAAGCCAGAGTCCTCTTCTCATAATCACTCTCCAACATGGCCGGGGGAGCCCTGCCCACCCAGTGCCCAGGCTCAGCTGCCCCTCTCCTCCGCTCCCTTACAGCTCATTCACCCTGCCAAGGTGCATTCTGGGGAGAAAGGGAGGGTCCTGTGAGGGGGGACTGTCAGGAGTTGGGGCTCTTAAGGATCTCTGCCCAGTTGTCCCCTCATTGAACTAGCGTGGCCTGCTCGGCGACACTATGGGGGCCCAGGTGGAGAAGTGGGTGGGCTCTGGGCAGGTGAGATCCCTCAGTTTCCGATTAAAAGCGATGTCTCACCCTAGCCGTTCTCCAGGGTAAATAAGCACGGGGTGGGGAGAGGGAAGCAGGCTTGCGTCACGTCTGACTCGTTGGGAATGATCCTCTCCTGCCCCCACACCCGAGCCACTGTGGGTGATGGACCACATGCTTGCTGTCTACAGAGGAAGTTCCCACTTCCTCCCTGCCCTGGCAGGAGGAGGAGGGCGCTGCCTGGCACACGGAATAAGCTGTTATTGCATCACCGCGGGTCCCCGAGGACCCTCCGCTTTCGCTTTCAGAGGTCTGCCATTTGCGAACTGCAGGGAGACGGAGCATTACCCTTAGGAATTTATACTGTGGGCAAGGACCCAAGGCAAGCGCCAGCCTCAGACTCTGCTGGTGGACAGAGTCAGCCCGGGAGAAGGCCTTACAGGACGTGATCACTCACCTGACAGGCAGGGAGTTCCCTTACAGCGGGAAGCATACAAGTCACAGTTCAGAGCAGGGCTGGTAAACATTTTATGCAAAAGGCTAGGTAGGAAATACTAGGGTCTGCAGACCACATATGGCCTCTGCTGCTTCCTTTTCTCCTCCCCCACCCCTAATCGTTTAAAAACACAAATTAAAAACATTCTTAACTTATGGGCCATCCAAACAGGCAGCTAGCTGAATGTGATCTTCTTGCCAACCTTGATCTAGAACTCTAGTAGATGACTACCACTAGAAGGGGTGTTCTGGAACCTCTGGCTGTCTCACCATCCTTCCCTGCAGACATCTCTCTCGCTCAGGAGACTCAGAGCTCCCTCTCAACCTTCTCTCCTCTCTCGGAGACATTACTGTGGGGATGA